GCTCTCTCCAGAACACCTAGAGTCTTAGGCTTGGGCCTTGTTAGCTCCTCAGACCTTCATGCAAGTAAGAAAACCACATCCCTTTTAGACAGATGAAACAAAAGTTTCCCTTTCCTCCTTGCAGAGGCGGCCCTGGGCCAGGGACCTTGGCGTGGCAAGAGGAGCCAGGTCTGGTTTTTACTCCCCAGTGGCCCCCTTAGCTGGGCACACGCAAGGCACACAACTTGCACCACCACGCGTGTAGTTCTAGCCTGGGCAGTGGCAGCCACACCAGAGCAGCAAAGGTGGCCCAGCTTCTGGGGGTGGCACAACGGAGCAGCGGTTAGGAAACTCTGTTCCGTGTACCCCTGTATTCCCTCGAGGGGCCTCTGTCCCAGCTCCAAAAGACACATCAACCACAGCAGGTCCCTGTCACCTGATATGCGGCATAGTTTTGGGGTTTTGTCTGGAGAAGGGGATGGCACAATTTAAAAACATTTTTTTTTAAATTCCAGATCTAGTCCAGCCACATCACAGTCTCTGGGTGCCGTGGAAGGAAGGGGTCAGCCGGGCACAAAGGGGTGTGCTTTTCAGGGACATTACTGGACACTGGCTTTAGTTTCCATGACAATGGGTGTGCTCTTCTCCTGACCCCACCAGGTCCTGTCCTTTACAGCTACTCAGAATTTTTCAGGACCTTGGATGGGCAGTCTCTTTGTAAATCTAAATCACTGGGTTCTACCAAACCTTTCACAAACCACAGGCAAACAATATATCTACATTTTAAACATCCACGTTTGAAAAATCCCTCTAGGCATCATCCACTGTAACGTGTAGCCAGCCAAGCAACCATGGCATTCTCTCCTTTTCTTGACTAAATTTAGAAGCAAACATCTTCAGAATATGAAACTAAATAATAAAGGTCACAGGACAATGAATAATATGTCATGTGTGGTTAATTATGCTTGGTTCTAAAAAAAAGTCATCCTAGCTTCTATATAAAAATTGTGTGTGTAGTTACTTCACTTTGAAATGTCATAGGGTTACTGGTTTCAGAAGGAAAGTGGAAGTGCTCAGAGATATTTCTGTAATGCTGAAAGAAGATGTTTCTTAAGAGAATGTAACATTTAATTCTTTATTGCTTCCTTTTGTCCTGTGGCTGGCTTATAAATATGCAACGCACAATTCTTTGTGCTATTGAAATTCAGGGTTCAGATTATTTTTAGTCTTTTCAGGGGGGAAAAAAGCAAATAATTTAGATGCAGAAAAGATAGGGTTGTTTCTCAACAGCTACTAAATCTGATGAACCATTATAATCACAAGGTAGATAGAATTACATTTAACCTTTTTCCATGGGGAGATAACCTCTACTTTTAGCTTCAAAATTCAGCTGTTTTTAATCTACCCTGAACACATCAGACTTCAAAAATGAAGCAGTTCTGAAATACTTGATTGAAAGTCACCGGTCTGCCTAATTTTTATTTCAGCTGTAATTCAAGCAGGGGATGGAATTGTGAGTGAGTTCTTTTTAATACTCCAATCAGATAAAATAAGCAAGCCATGTTGTTAATAGCGATGATGGAAGTGATAGCTCTCGGGCAGTCGAGCAAATGTTTTGTTGTGACTTGGGGTGATCGTCAGAAAAAAGGTACATGAGGTCAAACTCACTTCTGCTTTTCGAGATAATGTTGCCTCGCCATGCCCCGGGAGGTCACAGGAATTTTCCCTCTCAATCTTTTTTCTTGTTGCCCTAGGATTTACACTCTTGCTTTTCTTCTGACTAGTTTCACAAACATCCCTGGGCACTCACTGAGTATCCGACCCTGTGCGCGATGTTAGGAATGCAGAGATAAGGAATGCAGTCTGGGCGGCGGAGGAGCTCAGGCTGGAGGGCGCAGACCACAGGCGTTCTGGTGACCCGTGCAGGAGGCCTGCGCGAGGTGCCTGCTCCAGGCCAGCCCGTGGATTTTGAGTCCGGAGCAGGGATTTGGTTTCTTTGTCTGCATAATTTTTCTAGGATCCGGTCAAGCTCTAAAATGTATATGTTTCTGGTTATTTCAGACAAGGTATTTTACAGCTACACTGGTATGTCTACACTACTTCTAAAACGCAGATGCTAGAAGTAGTCTTGGCCTCCTCCAGATTCCTCTCAGTGTTTCCCTGATGTTATTTCAGACAGCAGTCCCCCACCTTTTTGGCACCAGGGACTGGTTTCATGAAAGACAATTTTTCCACTCAGTGGGGGTGGCGGGGAGGTCTTGGGATCGTTCAAGCACATTACATTTAAGTTCAACTCCTGTTGTGTTCCTAATTGGTAGTGGCCCGGATTGGAACCGGTCTGTGGCCCAGAGGTTGGGGACCCCTGCTTTAACCTACCTAAAGCCTCCACTTACATTTTATCTGTTGGGAGGAAGGGGTGTTGGTGGGGGTATGTTTTGAGATGCGATGCCCATTTAATCAGCACTCATTTGGTGCAGAATGGCTGTCTTGTCATCTTTCTCCAGTTACTTGCCACAGATTCAAATTCTGAAAGAATTTACTATCTTCGGTCCTTTTGAAATGAGTACAGATCTGAGGCACATTCCTCTCTTCTATTTCAGAAAAGAAAGGCCTTCAAATGGTTCTATCTAGTGACTTATTGGGTGGCTTCTTGCCAGTCTCTTGATTTGCATCATCCAAGCTCCTGGGGTTTGCTGATTCAGAAATCATCCTGCACTTTCTAGCTCTTCAGCTGGCCACTTTTAAGTAAGCAGAATCATTCTCCAGCTTCTGTTGTAAAACTCGTTTTTTGTTTATTTGCTTTATTTTGTTTAAAGAGGTCTCAAGACGACTCAGAGCAACATGAGATGAAGTGTAGATCAGTGAACTTCAACTGGGGGTAAAGAGGGACAAGAGCTTTTTTTCAGGGATGTCCTTCCGCCCATCCCTGTGCACTGCAGCCCTTGCGAACCACGGCAGGCAGAGGGGTAGCAGATTAGAACCTGGAGCCCGAGCTCCACGTACGTTTCTGTCACCAGCTCCCCAGCTGCTCTGTGATCCCAGCTCACCTTCTGGTCTGTCACACTAGTCTGTTCATTTCCATATTTTAAGTTTAGTAAGTAAAATTTTAAGTGACTTCAATTCCAAAGAATAAAATATACAATGAAAAACCTATCGCGGAAAACATACATTTGACTTTCTGCTATACACTCACCCCCCGAACAAACAGCCAAGTTTTGTTTAACTAAGTTCCCTCAGTACGACTCATTGCCCCCTCAAGGAAACAGACGTTCATTTGTAGCCAGAGGATCCAGTTTCAAAGTGATGCCCATTCATTCACTGGGGTGCAATTTAAGTGCGCTATCCTAACTCCTGGGAAAGATCCCTTAGCCCAGCGGAAAGGTAGAGAGCTGGCAGGGCCCCTCGGAGCTGGGCAGTTACAGACCCACAGAAAAGTGGGTGTGCGGCTTGGAGACACTTAGGAGAAGTCTCAGAGAGCCCCGAGGCTTGGTGGTTTCCACCACTTACCTGAGTCCTCTCATCCTGGCCAAGGAAGTTTTCTCCTTAGCTTTCTCTAGGAAGTCTCATCCAGCCCTCCTCTCCTCCACCCTGGTTCTCCCAAGTGTTCTAAGAGGCAGTGGCTCTTAGTCCGGCTGCACCGATCTCTGGTCCCCTCTGGGGCCTACCCGTCTCCTTAGCTAGCAAAGCCTGGTAATGTACTTATGATCTGGAAGTTCACAGAAAAATTTTCTTAACCTATAAACTAGAGTACCTATGGCCCCTTGGTTGGGACCTTGTGGGTTCTTGAGGATGCATCCAGCTAGAATACACTGCTGGCCTCTCGTCTTGCCCTCGCTCAGCATCCCCTCGGGAAGTCGTGTGAGGTACACGATGGGTGAATCTGAGAGAAGAAACAGAGCTTAGAGCAGCCCCCGTCTTCTCAGAGCCAGCCTGCCACAGGCAGTACGGATTCTGGTCCACTGTCTGCCGTGCACAAGTCACTCTGCCCTAGAACTTCATCTCAGGGGTGGAGACACACTGACCCAAGCTCACAGAGATTGCTGTACAGCCAGAATTCAAGATTATTCCAATTTAATGATAAATGCAGCCAGCAAGCTGGTGGGACTTCATATCAGGAGATCAAAGCATTTGCTCTCTGTGGACAGGGAGCAAAGTGATTTACATTCTATATTTAGAGCGTGAAACCTGAGTAAGGAGAGGTAGGTAGATGATTTATCCAAGGATACATTTGCCATGGAGACCTGAGAGCTCAAGTCCTTGGGCCAAGGCCCCTTCTCCTCTGAACAATATTTGGAAGGCACTACCAACTTCTGGCTCCTTTGGCTTAGGTTTTCCATGCTATGGGCTAACGGCACCTCTGCCCACCTCCTCCTCTGTTCATCCAGGCTTTCTCCAAAGAATTGATTAGCCTTGCACTTGTTAAATCAACAGTCTCACCCTGGTGCTTACCATCCTGAGATTACCTGCAAGTCACATTGGTTGAAGTTACAGGTGTTTCTGAAATCTTACCTGTCATATTTATCGGCGTACCAGTTGTCTGTTGGTTTACTCCTCCAGTCAATTTATTGTGTGTGTGTGTCTTACTGATTTAACTCTCAGAAGGCAACCTCATTTTCTATTTCCAGGTTTCTTTGGAAGACACCACTACTGCTCCATTTACTGCCAACAAGGCATTTTTTGAGCTCTTTGTGGAAAAAAACCTTTAGCATAACTATTTTGATCATACTTTGCAACTTAAACACCTGAATTCAAAGACTAAAGCAGTTTTTCCTGATTTTATATTATAATAACTTATGAGACTGAGCTAATGAAGACAAACATTCAGTGAGGACTTTCAGTTTAACTCACCTTTTTTTTTTAACCACTATCAAATAGTCTTATGCAATAAACTCAGCACATCTCTAAAATCTGTGATCTATTTCCAGAGGAGGTGGATAAAAATATTTTTAAAGCAAAGAAATGCCCTGTTGGATGCCTCCAACAATAGAATCAGCCTCAGATCAGAAATATCTTTCCTCACTGTCGCCCTTTATTTCCTCCCCAAATCTTGCTCCGGTGTCAGGCACAGCTTTGGGCGCCGTAGACATAACAGTGAACACATGAGGTAATAGAAGATTCTCGCCCTAGTGGGGCTGACGTTCTAGTTGAGGGAGACAGGCTATAAGAAACAAACGAATAAATAAGAAAAATATCAGAAATTGTTAAGTGCTATACAGAGAATATAACTGAATAACGAAATAGTGACTGGTTTAGATGGGATTATCAGTGAAGGTTGCTATTTCAGCTGAGACGTGAGTGATAAGAAGCAGCCAATTACAAGAAGAAGGGGGTGAAGAACAGTGCAGGGAGAGAAGGCCAGGGACAAAGGCCCGAAAGGAGGAGCAGGCTTGGTGAGTGCGTGAAGAGCGAGAGGATTTATGGAGTGCGACTGGCAAGGAGGAAAGTGGCAGTAAGAAAAAGTCCTCCGGAGCATAGGATGTAGAAGGCTTGCAGGGGCGAACACCCTGAAATTTTTCTCATTCAGAGGGACCATGGAAACTGTAGCTGCTTTCCCCTGACTCATGTTTCTTGCTCTGTTTTTAAAATGTCTCATAAGGAAAAAGGGGTGTGTAATAATATGGGGTGGTTCCGTTTCCACACCACTGTCTCGGGCCCAGCTCATGCGTGTGTCTTTCCAGGTTTACCAGGTGATACTGTGTTCCAATCAGACACATGACATGTGAGAAGAATGAAAGGGTGAAGCTGTTGAAAATTCATCACCATGCCCCTCAATGGTTCAGAGGCTGCAGGTGTTTAAAAGCCAAGCATGGAAGGGTAGCACCCAGGGGAGTGACCTTATAAACTGTTTTATTAAACTTGACAAATTTACCCTGTCTGAGGGATGGGGGTGTCAGGATTCTGGATCTTAAAGGAAAGAGTAAATCAGGCTTCAAAATGTATGTTGGCCTGAGGTTGGCAGGTTCACAAACTCTTCGCTCTCAGTTCATTCAAGAGAGAGCTGGCTTTAGGGAACTGATTCATGTTAATCAGAGTTACAGTAGACTGATTATTAAAGTGCAGTGCCATTTTATTCGTTACCTGTGAGAGTTAGAACTCCTAGTTGAAATTCGTATCTGTTGGTCAGCACATGCTCTTCCTGGTAGGAAAATCTATTTGAGAAATCACATTAAAGCCAGAAGGTTAAATGTTAAATATGGGAGCTGAACAAATCAAGTTGCATGTTTTGAAGGGCTATTTTCATTAAGCAATGGCAGCCTGCTACAGTCTTTTCTTTACTATAGGGTCATACAGTCCCAAATGGGGAAATGATCTACTTACTCAGCTGGTCAGAGAAGGCTAGCCCTGGAGAAACGCTGGCACATTTTGACTCCCAGTCTCTCCTGCTTCTTGGTCTGGTCCACTGTTTCTCAAAGAGTGATCTAAAGTCTACCTGCAGTAAATTTGCCTTGGGTATTTATTACAAATCTAGTTTTCTAGGCCTTGTCCCATACTTCCGAGTCAGAATCTCTGGTCTTCGGCTGGGAATATTAATTTTACCTAGTTGTCTGGGGGACTGTAAGCACACTAAGGATTTGAAAAAACAATGCTAGCTGTTAAGCCATATAACTTCAGGCATGTTAGTTACTAAACTTCTCCAAGCCTCAGTTTATTTGTCTGTAAAACAGGGATAATAATAGGATCAAATGAGTCAAGATGTGTAAAGCCCTTAGAACCCCGTCTGGCACCAAGTAAGCCCTCAATACATGCTTGCTGTTGTTATTACCACCAATTAAAGTCATTCATCATCTCCATTGTCACCATTCATCCCACCACAGTCCTGTTTACTCGCAGATTTTTTTTTTAATGAAGTAAAGCCAAATGTATTGGTTACTATAGTAAGGGAGACCACACCCTTGACAAAATTAATAGTATCTCCCAGACTGTTTTTCATTGGGGACATTCAGGATTTCTGCTTGTCCCCAATGGGACAAGGTTTTCCAACCTCTTTTAAGGATGGAAAAGGGAGTACCCTGAGCCATTTCCAAATCATGCAACACGATGGATTTATTATTAGGAAGGTTTCTAATGGATCCACAGCATTTAACTTAAAAGTTTACCTTTGATCTCAGTGTTTGGCACATTATTGCCCTGTACTGAAAGGTGGGTTGCACCTCACTTTGGGGTCTCAAAGTTCTCTGTCTACTGACAATGGCAACATACAACGTGTTTAAACTCTTCTCCCTAAATGTTGTCACTTGACATGAATTGATCTCATATTTACACCTTCCGTTTAGAAATGAACAAATGTTCACAGAGTCCTCTCAACTTAGTATTGGCTGGGTGGCAGCGATTCTGATGAAATCTTGGAGGTTCCATGCTAGTACATTTGGAAGTAGAGTCTGCAAGTACAGCAGAACTTAGAATGGCACATTCCCGTCAACTCTCTCTTCATCTGAATTCTTCAGATTGGGTTAGAAGCATTCATTAAGCCTCCCAGCATCCCTGTGACACAGATAATTACACTACTCATTCCTGCATTTGAGGTGGGCACATTAAAGAAGGAAGAAGTCAAGTGAAGCTAACTCTTTTTTAAATTTAACCTTTATTATATGTTTTTTTCCATTACCATTTAGTCCCCATATAGCTCCCTGCCCCCAGCAATCACCACACGAAGTTAACTCTTCAGGTTAGGCTGAATCAGCAGCAAAACCACTCCAGGAATTTTTCATCATTGTCATGTAAATAGTTCTGCAACTGGTTTCTATAAGCTTCACATTGAAAATTGAGTTGTTGAAAGTGACTATATTTTTGCAAAACCAAAAATTAAGTCTAACCTGGTGAAGAAAAAAAGGGAGTTATATCCTGGGCTCAGCTAGGCTGTAGCTACTCTGACTTCCTCTATGTCCAATCTGCTTCCCCAGTGCTGGACCTGTTTACCTTCTAACAAATACGAATTCTTGTTCCTCCCTCTCATTTCCACTTACCAGTAAACTGTGAGTCCACACTCTGCTGTTGATCTGCAGTAGGGGAAGCAGTCTGAGTTACTCATGACACGTATGGCTTACACAGCCTACTGAGAGCCACGCCTACCAGGCCGCCTGGCTCCACCCACTTCACTCACCTGCTGGTGTCTGCCAAATGGAGCCCAGCTCCCAGGCCATCATCAGTGGCAAGGCTCTGAGCTATTATTTATTTAGCTGGGTCCAGGTCTCGGCTGGATAGGTAGCTAAGATTCAGCTCTAGCTTTGAAAAATAATAACTTCTATTTTTTTTGTTACAATGAAACATGTCTTCATTTTACTCTTTTTGAAAAATATAGCTGAGCAAAAGGTGAGAGAACTAAAACACATAGCAAAAAGAAAATGAAAACTTCCTATAATACTCCTTATTGATGTATAATATATATAGTAAAAGCATACTTATCTTAAATTATTTTAATATGTTATACAGGTATAATGTATACTTATTTAATTAACCAAAACCTTGGTCAACATGAAGAACACTCTAGCACTACAGAAAGTTCTTACTCGCTCCTTCCCAGTCAACATCCCTACACCCCAGAGGTAAATTCTATTTTGATTTTGATCACTTTTGATTAGTTTTATCCACTTTTGAATTTCACATAAGGGGAATCATATGATATATGCTTTTTATGTCTTCCTTTTTTCACTCATAATGTCTGTGACATTCACCCATGTGTTACATGTAGCAGTAAATTGGCTTTTTGTTTGTTTGTTTGTTTTTGCTGTGTAAAATTCTGCCATGTAAATATACTACAATTCATCAATTCCTCTGTTGAGGGACATTTAGCTTGTTTCCAAATTTTGGTTATTAAAAGAAAACCTGCCATAAACATGTTGTCTGTCATTTAGTGGTCATACACACCCATTCCTCTGGGTATACAAGTAGGAGCGGAATTGCCAAGTCATAGGGGAGGCTTGGAGCTGGCTTTCAGGGATGTGAGTTTTCCAAACTGGTTGCATCACTATACATTCCCATCAGCAATGCGTAAAAGTGTCATTACACGGTGGGGCAGAAGTAGGTTTACAGTTGTTTGTATGGAAGATAATACAATAATTAACACATAATAATATAAGAACAAACTCTGTGTTTCATGTATGTACAAGTATTAACTTACTTTTTCTCAACCCTGTTATATATCCTCTCCAACACTTGATATTTTCATTCTTTTCACTTTTAGCCATTCTGTAGAGTGTGAGTTGGTATCTCATTGTGGTTTTCATTTGCATTTCCCTGGTGACTAATGATGTTGAACACTTTTTCAAACACATATTGGACATTGGGCATTTTTTTTTTGTAAAATGCTTTTTCAAATTTTTGCCCATTTTTCAATTGGGTTGTTTGCTTTTTTCTTATTGGTTTATAGGATTCCAGTTCTTGTTAGATATATAAGGTCTGTCCAGAAAAAGCACAGCCATTGTCAATATAACAAGAATGGTTTGTGTGACATCGATGTAACCCAGCAGCCAAGGAGAGTGGACTGGAATGTGCATGTGTGAACAATGATGGCTTCACTGTACTAGTCAGTGGGGGCGGTAGACACCATTGAGTGAGCGGGTGTACTGTGTGGCTGTCACATACAAAGTGACTGAGCGAGTAGAAAAACAAATCTGCATCAAATTTTGCACTAAGCTTGAACATTCCTTTACAGAAACTATTCATATGATTCAGAAGGCCACAGCTATGGGCAGCTGGTGATTGGCACCTTCATCACAACAATTCACCCATTCGTGAACCTGTATTGTGCAGAGTATTTTTGTGAAACATCAAATCACCCAGGTGACTCACCACACTACACCCAGATTTGGCATCCTGCAACTTCTGCCTCTTCCCAAAACTAAACTCACCTTTGAAAGGAAAGAGATTTCAGACTGCAATGAGATTTAAGAAAATATGACAGGGCAGCTGATGGCGATTAGAAGAACTGTGTGAGGTCCCAAGGTGCCTACTTTGAAGGGGACTGAAGCATCATTGTCCTGTGTACAATGTTTCCTGTATCTTGTATCTTCTTCAATAATATCTCTATGTTTCATATTACATGGCTGGATACCTCCTGGACAGACCCCATGTACTCTTACATATTCTCTCAGTCTGTGACTTGTCCCTTCACAAAACTTCTTAATTTTAATAAAGTTCAATTTATCAATCTGTCTTTCATGCTTAACTTTTTGTATCTGTTTATCTCTTTTGCTTTCTATCTCACCATTCTCAAACATTCATCAGACACAAACACACATACACCCCCAATACGCAGTCAGCAGAAGGTGTTAAACAAATGTTTCTTCTCATGCTCTGAGTAGTTTAGACATTGCATTTACATGTCTCATGGCTTAAGCGAATCCCATTGTATAAGGGATATCTGAGATATTTTTAAAAGCCAGAAAACATTCTGTTCACCCCAGCTACAGGAGAAATTTTTCTTTAGCTACTAAAAATGACAACTTGGCATTAAGTAAGTCAGATGCCTCATTTAGACCCTCAGAGTCCTTATCTAAAAATGATAAAGACTAGAACACTACAGTTCCTCCGAGCTCTACCATGCTACTATTTTACTGAATGGATAAAGTAGATACATACAAATAAACATCAGAACATAAAATATGTATTTAAGTAAAAACACAGAATGAAGGAAGAGACATGTGCTAAACATAAACAAGATCTTTCATTCTAAAATATATTGATATAAATGGATACAAATGTATAGATTCAAATACGTATGGTTAAGATTCAATTATAGTCCCTAAGTAATCAAGGAAAATGAACCAAAAGTTTGCACATTTGATTACAAATGTAGTAAATCACCATCTGAAAAATTGAAGAGGCTCATTAAAAACACAAATTAAAATGACATTAATGATCGCTTCTCGGCCTTTTGGCTAAGATCAAGTATAAAATGACATTAATGTAGTGATTTTCAACTGGTGTGCCACAGCACACTGGTGTGCCCCAAGAATTTTTTGAACATGCAGTACCTGACTATTTAGTCAGGGGCACTGACCTCTTTTCCCTTAGATTGTTGAATTAAAAAAAAATTGACAACAGGCAACCCAACAACAGCCATCTAGCATGAATGAATCAAGATTGTATGTTTTTTTTTTGTCCGATGGGCAAATAATATATTTTTTGGTGTGCCACAGAATATAGTAATTGGTAATTTAGTTTATGTGTGCCATGAGTTGAAAAAGGTTGAAAATTGTTGCACTAATGTATCACTGTCCACCTTCCCCTGGGTGTAACCAAGAATGACTCCTCCTTCCCTCTCATTCCTAAGGACCCTGCCCCACTGAGAAATACCCACCCCTTCGAGTTAACTGCTGTGAGTTAACCATTCCTGCCATCATAGCGGATGGCAGCCACTGACCAAACCCACCCATCCACTCACTTCTCACTTCCTCTCACGATGGTGTGCCAGAGCTGGTCCCCCAACTAGCCCCACCTGCTAAGGCACACTGCCTACTGTTCCAGCCAGGGCTGAAGCCGGAATCAGACTGACCTGGTGACCAGAGGCAAGTGGAAGCCTCTGAGCCTTCATTCCCTTATCTATGAAGGGAAAAATCCTTACGCCACGGGATTTTCAGGGGGTTAAATGTGACATCAGTAGAAGTTCCCAGTAAGTTCCCAGTACATGGTACACTTAGGAAACTCCGGCCAGAAGCCTTCGTTCTGACAAGGGGGTAACACTCATCTCTCGGCCATGGAAACACTAGGCTTCCCAGCCAGTTTAGGCTGTACCAGAAGCACCACTACTAGAAGTGCCCCAATGTTAGTAAAGTTGGTATTTCCTTTCATTTTCTGGGTGGTTTGTTCAAACCTAGACTGGAATACAAGGGGCCCGCACAATCTTTTTAGCAACTAGAAAGTTGCTTTTGGAGCCAAACAGGAAACTGTTGTGCTGATGGTGGGCCAGGCTGTCCTGGAAGACTATAGGATAAAAAGTAGGATGAGGCTAGGCAGTGAGGGTGCAGGGTTCTAAAGGATTCCTGCACAGGAAGGAGGTGAAAAAAGTAGGTTCTTACACAGTGTGATAGCTTTCAAGTAAAAATCAGAGAGAGAAAGAGACAGATATGAATAGATGCCTGGGCTAAGACTCGTAAGTTCCAGGTTCAAGTACTAGTTTTGCTATTAAGCCAATGCAATTTAACCTTGCTGGATCTCAATGTCCTCAACTGCAGAATGAATGAGATTAACAGTAATTGTCGTTTTTTTGAAAAAAGTTCCCAGCACATATGCTCACTCTCTTTTTTCCCTTTTGCCCTTACCTTCCCTATCTTTTGGTTTGGAAACAATTCCTTTCTGGCAACCAGAACCCCAACCGTCCACGAACCGTCCTCAGCACACCCCTCCTTGTTGGATCAGGGGTATCAGAGCCTCCCTCACTCTCCAAGCTGCCCGCCCAGCCTTTGTTTCACATTTAGGGCCAAGGGCTGCCTGTGAATTAGAACTAGAATTCTATTCATGCCTATTGCTCAGGGTGGTGGAAAACACGATAGATATTTTCTGCCATGCCAAATTAGAACCCTCAATGGCTTTTTCCCATAAAACTCTGTTGTAATTGGTGGTTAGAGTCCATATTACCATGGACACTCTTCTACAGTTACATTAAGAATTAAATTGATTTTGTAGGCTGACCTGGGAATTTAACCACCATTTGTACCACAATCTCTGTGGGAAAATACATCCTGTGTTCCAAACAATTGACCTTTTGGAGTTGATCCAGTTCCTAAGTTGGGGACAGCATGTACAATATTACATTACATTTTGGGTTTAATTTGTGTGTTCCAGAATCCAAGACTTCTTAGAGCTGGAAGGAACTTTGGAGATGATTTATTAACGGAGTAATTTTGTAGGTAATGGAGCCAAGGTTCGGGAAGACAGATTCGTCTACAGTTTGGTCTCCTACCTCCAAACCAGTACTTTCCCCACTATCAAAATCGTTCTGTGCTCATTTCTTCACATAATCATGAAGCCACTTAAAAGTTGGGAAGATCACGTCTTCTTCAGCACAGAATCAAACATATTAAATGTGTCATAAATACTTAA